ACAAACCATCCTTAACTCCAGTTCCAGGGGAATCCAAAGCCCTCTTCTGACCTCCGAGGCATTGCACAACATGGGTGCACTTACACACATGCAGGCAATGTACTCATACACATAAAATAAAAATAAATATTTTTTTTAAGTCTTAAGTAGGAGGATTATTTGAGCCCATGGTACAGGGCCAGCCTGGGCAACATAGCAAGACCTCATTTCTAAATAAATAAACAAGCAAATAAATAAACCTAAGTGCAATTTCACATAAGATTGGGCCACAGTCAACAGGAATAGACTAATCAAATGTTAGAATAGAATAACACATCTATCATTTACTTCCAAAGCCCTTTTAAGTTTCTTTAGTGTATATGATATTAGCTTGCAATTAACTCCATTAAGAATTGAATGATAGTATTGAAACATGGATTTAGCAATTTCTCCTGTCTTATGCTGGTTGTATGCCTGCCTCGTTCAGGTGTGCTTGTAATCCTCAACCAAAGGACGGAGGCTGAAGGGCACAGGTCTGTTTGTTGACTTTGAGTCCTAGGAGGAAGGCAAGGGCACTGTCCCTCCAGTGTCTGGTCAGGGCTGGGAAGACCACAGGCTGGCTCTGGGCCTTGCTTCCTGGAAATAATTGAGCAGTTCCTAATGCCAGGCAGTGTGCTAAGTGCTCCTTCACCCATGGGAAGTTAGGTCCCTTCTAGGCTACACAGCTAATGAAGATGTGAATATCATTCCTGGTTCTGGCTTCAGATATGCACCATCCACCTCCGCCTCCTCTCCTGACATGTCATCAGATGGCTGTGTTAGAGGGGGATGGTTTGCATCCCCCTCCGTGATCAGGCTCCTGGGCAGCAGGATTAGGATGTCTCCTATAACTGCTGTGCTGTTCGGTTCTGCCCTAGGGAACCTGAGCCCAGAAACAGCCCTATGACAGAACTCACCAGTGTCCTCTGTGTATGTATTTGCCTCCTTTACTAAACTTTGAGTACCTAAAGGCAAGACTCTGTGCTCCATTTTATTCCTGGAACTTAGCACCATGTTCTATTAACTTTGCTAAATTCATGGATCACAAGAGTCTTAATTAAGCACATTTCACCAGTTTACAAAAATGGATATGGTCACGTGGTATTTCTTCAGCTAGCCAATCAGATGAATTCTTGTATTTAAGGCTCCACAGCTCTACAATCCCTCTCCAACCTGTCTCTCTCCCTTTTGCAGCCTATGGGATCCGAACGGACTGAGATGCGCAAGCGGCAGACGTGCACCGGTAGTGACGCGCCAGGCTCGATTCCAGGCCAGCAGGGCGTGGAGAGTCGCGGCTCCAACAATGCCTGCTGCTTCTGCTGGTGCTGCTGTTGCAGCTGTTCTTGGTAATGTTGGGGCTTTCTGTTAAGGTGCTGATTGGGAACAGGTGCCCTTGAGTAGGGCCAGTGCATGATTCATCTAGTAAGTGGGGCTTGTTTTGTGTTGCCTGAGCCTATGTAGCCCAGGCTGTCCTCAGAACTTGGTTGAGGGTGACCTTGAACTCTTGATTCCCTGCCTCCATCCCCCAACTGTTGGGATTAGAAGCATGCGTCACCATGTTTGGTCTGTAAATGTGTTTTAAACAGCCATTATGTGCCTGTAAACGACATATACACATATATTAATAAACGGCAGCATCTGTCTAGTTGTCAGGGAAGTTAGATTTAAATACTTCAGACAAGGTTAGCACAGATTAAACAACCAAAGAACAATGTAAGGCAGTCATGAGTGCATGCTAACATTTGGGCAGAAAACTGGAGATGACTAGAAAGACTTGCTTTTGTATAAAGGTTTTGTGGAGGAGTGGGATTGAGATGTGTCTTAAAGTCTAGGGTTATAAAGCCTAGATTGTATCATCTGTTGGCTCCATATTGTTAATTTTGGTTTAAAATAAAGATGTGTCAAACTATGTACTTAAAATGGAAAGAGATGTTGAAGTATAGTCTAGTTTGCTTGATTAAAAAAAAAAAGAAAGGAGAGAAAAAGAGAAATGTAAGGGAGATGTGTATGAGAGAGTATTGGGTATAAAACATCCATGCCATTTGCACATTAGGTTAGGCTGCATCTTTGAAATCTTGCATAAAGAGTATTAGTGCCAGCCAAATATGGGCACCACTCAAGTGATTCAAATCTATCATCATTATTTGTGAGTGAGTGTGTGTGTGTGTGTGTGTCTGTCTGTCTGTCTGTCTGTCTGTACATGATGTGTGTACGTAGGCATATATATAATGGTGACAGGGGATACCTCTGTGGAGCTGGTTCTCTCCTTCCATCGTTACATGGATTCCAGGAATCAAATTCGGGTCCCAAGTATCAAGAGCTTTTACCCACTGACCCATCTCAACAGCCCTAATTCAATTCTTATTTTTGTTCATTTCTGTTGATGATGGTAGTAATTGTTGTTGTTTTTTTTATTTTATGTATATGTGTTTTGCCTACATGTATGCAAGTGTACCTGTGCATGCAATGCCTGCGGAGGCCAGAAGGGGGGTGTCAGCTCCCCTGAAACTGGAGTTATAAACAGTTGTTAGCCATCATGTGGGTGCCGGGAACTGAACCCCAGTCTTCTGCAAGACCAGCCAGTGCTCTTAACTGCTGAGGCATCTCCCCAGGACTGTTGCTTTTTGAGATGGGGTCTCCCTGTAGCCCCACCTGACCTAGAACTTCCTGTGTAGACCAAGCTGGCCTCAATCTCACAGAGATCTGCCTGCCTTCTTGCCTCCCAAGTGCTGGGATTAAAGGTGTGAGCCACCACATCTGGCTTCCCAATTCAGTTCTTACATTTATATTAGCTTGACTAGACAAAGCTCCTTTTCCAGTGGAGAAAAGAAGCCTGATATGGACTGAACAAGAACACTGACAGGAAATGGATTCCTGGAGAAGGAACCTGGAGAAGATGGAGGTAGGAAATGAAGTGTTCAAAGAAGTTTGATCCATTCCTCCTGTTTGACTTGGCCTGCTATAAATTTCCAAAAAGCCTCAGTCTGATGGCTGGGGCCCAGCAATAAAACTGGACTGATAGAATCATAACACCTGGGTGTGCCCACTCAAGTTAGAGCCAGACAGGAGTGGGAATGTGAGACGTAGGGCTGACAAAAGCTAAGGAACCTGGAGCCCAAGGCCAGATTTCAGCTCTGCACAAGAATCTAGATCAGTTCATAGGGAGCAGAGGTACAGGTAGTCAGCTAGGAAGAAACATGCATCCAGGGCCTGTGCTGCTCAAGGAAGAGACCCAGCAATGCTAGAGAGACTGGTCGGCTTCCTCTCCACTCCCACTCTGCCCAGTAGACTTTAGTGCTGAATAGCTGTGACCATCTGAAGATGTACAGGATTTGATGATGTCACTGTGCCAGTATGAGTCCAGCTGGCACCTGTCGCCCATGAACAGGGCACAGATGCTAAATTGGAACCATATGGTATGTTGTTCTGATGAGTAAGGTTAACATGTGGGGACAAGTCCCAGATCATGGTCCTTCTACTAGTACAAAATTGGGTGAAATCAAACATGAATCTATGTGTTGAAAACATGTCGTCATTACCCTCACAGCCAACACATATGCAGCACTTACCATGTGTGCACATAAAAGGCAGTAGAACCATGTCTTCAAAGTACTGGAGAACAGACTCTGAAAACTCAAAGTATGGTTTAAGGGTATGGGTAAAATTAGATGTTTTCAGGCATACAAAGGCTGAGAGAATTTACTTCCTACAGGCCTTCCATAAAGAGCTAAGTAAAGTATTCTTAACACTTCAGGGGGAAGTGAACCCAGAGAAAAGCGGAAGAAGCAAATGATGATAGCTGGAAATAAAATGAATGAAATGGAATGTTTGCCATTTAATTTGGGGTTAAAAAGTATAAAACCCAATTGTAAACAAATAACCTCATGTCAGTGATTGACGAATCACTTCAGACTTACTTTGAAGGAATCATAGGAAATGCCCTTTAAAAATTAATAATATTCAGGGCTGGAGATGGCTCAGAGGTTAAGAGCACTGACTGCTCTTGCAAAGGACCCAGGTTCGATTCCCAGAATCCACACGGCAGCTACGAACCATCCTTAACTCCAGTTCCAGGGGAATCCGAAACCCTCTTCTGACCTCGACGGCATTGCACAACACGGGTGCACTCACATACATGCAGGCAATACACTCATACACAAGATAAAAATAATAAATATAAGAAATTAATGACATTCTTCATTAGTGCAAAAACACATGTCGTTTTCATCAATATAAGACAAAAGCGAAATCTCAAGAACCTTCCAACATGTGACACAGGTTACTGGTCAAGGAGACAACAGTCCACACTAATGAAGGATATCAGTATATGGTGCCAATTTTTCAGTTGACGGAACTTTCTCATTTTACCACTGAAAAATCCCAAGTCTTGGAAAACACATGGTCCTAGGCAGACCAAGAAGGGTAGTCACCTATATGGTATCCAAATCTAGAGAAGAACATGTATATTTGTATATTATATGCAAAAATCATCTCCACCTTAAAATTGAAAACCAAGGCCAGGCATGGTGTCTCAACTGCTTGTGAACTGAGGCAGAAGGTTCTCTTAAATCCCCAAGTTGAGGAGTTGGAGGCCAGCCTTGGACAACATAGCAAGACCTCATCTCAGAAACAAAATGACAAAAACCCCAGTTCAATTCCAGAAGGCTTAATAGCCAAGAAGGAAATATAGAATAATAGCTTTATGGTGTTGGCATTTATAGACAAAATCTATAAAGAAAAAAATTCATGAGCACATAACTGTAATCCCAGATCTGTAGTCTTGACAACTGTGAAGCAGGAGGATTCTGAGACCCAGGCAAGCCTGGGCTACACAAGAGACCCTGTTTCAAAAAGCAACCAAAATTAAATAAATATATAAATATAAACATAAATGTATTTGACAGGAGAAATCAAAACACATATCCACACAAAGATCTGTACCTAAATGTTCACAGAAACACAATGCGTCATAGTCAAAGTTGAAAGCAGCCCAGAAAACTATCAACTGATGAAAGAATAAACAGTAAAGGCCATTGTACACATGTAGTACATTTACATGCATGCAGGCAAAGCACTCATACACATAAAATTTGCTTTAATTAAGACAAGCAAAAGCAGCCAAACACTCCCTACAATGGAGTGTTAACTGGCCACAAAAAGGAATGAAGTATGAAGCTGCTAAAATATAGTTTGACATATGTGACATTTAAGCTAAGTGTCCCCACTTAGTGGAGAGATGGCTCAGCAGTTAAGAGCACTGGCTGCTCTTGCAGAGGACCTGGGTTCAGTTCCCAGAACCCATATGGAAGCTAACAACTATCTGTAACTCCAGTTCCAAGGGATTTGACCCTCTCTTCTGTCCTCCGTGGGCATTGCACACAGATGGTACACTTACATGCATATAGGCAAAACACTCATACACATAAAAATAAAATTTTTAATCAAGCTAAGCAAAAGCAGCCAGACACAAAAAACCACATATTGTATTATTTCACTTAGATATACAGAATGGATAAATCCACAAAGTCAGAAAATTAAGTGGTTGTATTGGCATTGGGGAGATGAGCACAACTGACAGTGTGGAGCCTTTCTTTCTTGGCTAATGGCATGGACTCTGATCACGGCGATGGTTATGAGACTCTGTAAACACATCCAAATCCAAGGAATTGTACTACTAAAATGGTATATTCTATGGTGTATGAGTTTTATCTTACTATACCTATTTTAAAACATGTTTAATAAAAAAGATAACAAAATAAAAAGGAAGGTTAGGGTATCTGCTCAATCAATAAAGTGCTTGCCATGCACACATGAGACCCTGAGTTTGATCCCCAGAACCCACGTTAAAAGCTGAGCATGGTAGTGTGTGCTTGCAATCCCAGGTCTGCAGAGGCAGGGTGAAGAAGATCCCTAGGGTTCACTGGGCAGCCAGCCTAGCCTTCTCCAAGAGTTCCAGGTCAATAAGAGACCTTTTCTCTATAAAAGCAAATAGACAAGAAAACAAACTGGGGTAGGAGATGGCTCAGCAGTTAAGAGCGTGTATTTTCTTCCAGGGGGCCTGAGTTCAATTCACAGCAGCCTCCAACTCCAGCGCTGCACTCACATGCACAAACCCATGCTCAGAAACACATATATGCACAGCATTTAAAAGTAACAATAAAGTAAAAAAAAAAAATAACTATAAAGCAAGGTAACTGCTGAGGAGGCTGTCCTCCTGAGGCTGTCCTCCGGCTTCTATACACACACACACATACATAACAAATAATAAGTAGTAAAATAAATAATACAATGAAAAGGTAAAACATACTTAGAAAGGATAGTTACAATGCCCTTCATAAAGAATCAA